AGCCATTCGTGTTGGCTCGTTTATAATTCAAGCTTTAAAAATTTGTTCATGTTCGGCTCGTTCGCCAACCAGTATAACAGCTAACGAGTAGAACACGAGCTGTTCGCGAACAACGAGCTTTTTTGATAGCCCTAGCTGCGAACTGATTTTAAAAAAAAATTATAATTATCACCGTAATTTTTTTAGCACCGAATTATTATTCGATAACATCACAGCTACTTTTAAATAAGCTAGACTTATCCCAACCCTTAATATTTGAGGATACTTATTTTACATTATAATGGTGCTCTTGTTTATAGAAACTTTATTATAAATGAGTCCCCATTGATTTACTATCTTTATTTTTATCTCACATAAGAATTATAATTAATAATATTATTAGTAAATATTCATCATGATGTTATTTTAGAGAAAGTTTATCTTTACGTGGGAGTTGGTATGATTGAGCCATTTAGCATTGTTTGTCGAACCCGATCCGAATGATACATTCAACACGTGAAATAGATGTTTTTTTGTTATTGTTGTATATTAATTTCACTTTTCAAAAATTATATTTAAAATAAGCTGCTTGAAGTTAATTTTGGAAGGTGGACTATTTGTTCGGAAGGAGTTGGAATTCAATATAAATAATATTGTATTTGAAATTGAACCCTTAATTTATCTCCATTGAATTTGAAGCTCGACAGAAAGTAAAAACGCGACTTAGGGCCCGTTTGGGGCAGATTATTTAGGTGCGGCGGCGTTTTCCTGCGTTTTGAAAATGCTGCCATAGTGTTTGGGTGAACGTTCCCCCGGATTATTCATATCACACTGTGTCCCGCTTCGCTGAATTTCTTAAGGGCTTCGACACGGGTCAAGACTCGCGACCCGCGTTCGGCTATCATCGCTGCCCTAGATACCCCTCGTGCTCTCCCTCCCTAGTTCGCTGACTGCGATCGAACTTCTACACCCTAGATGAGATCGGACCGTGTTCCTTCGATTTCTCTTTCTGATTCGTAAGGTATGCTTTACGCCACCGTCTTCGCTGGGCGTGAAGGGTCAAACCTCGCTGTTTTTATTTTTATTTTCTTCCTTGACGGAAGAGCAAGGGCTTTCATCTTCTTCCTTCTCAATTCGAAGGTTGCCGAAACAGACCCTTAATCTAAAGTGTTGTACGCCGCACCCACTTGCAACCACCTCCAGCCAGTTGTGCCTACCGCCAGCCACTACCGTCGGCATTCACCTTCGGCCACCATTGCCGCCAGCAACCACCAGCGACCACCATTGCCGTCTACTGCCACCAGCAACCACCAGCAACCACAACATCACCACCATCCACCACCCTTGCACAGTCCTGCTTGTCATTGCTGTTGTTGCCGGCCACCGTCTCCGTCATTAACATACACTTAGTTTGACATACATTATTTTCATTTTACTTCAAATAATAATAAAAAAAATTAGTTCATTTATTTTTCATATAACCATACAATTTCATAGTATTTTAAGTACAATACACTGCTCCATTATTATATTTTTTTGTTAAGCGTAAAGTCCAATTAAGTTAAAACAAAAAAAAGGTTTTTTCTCTCTCCCGCTCTATCATAAAGCAAAGTTTTGCTTCGCCCCTTCGCGAAACTACTCCCGCCTCAACTACTTCCGCTCCCTGTTTCGTGAAGAGTTGCACCTCCCGCCACTGTTAAAGGTATTGCACGGCTCTCCTTCAGATTTAGCACTGCATTTTTGAGCTATTCTTTGGCAGTTCTACTTCCAGGGGATAGAGGAAGAGAAGTGCAATCAGTAGTTCTTTGCAGTAGAAGGAAGAAACAAGAAGAAGAAGAAGATTGTTCTCCCTTGGCTTCTTCTTGGTGACTTGTGGTTAGAAGAGAAATGAAGAGAAATTAAGTTTATTTCTCTTGTAAGTTTATCTTCTTCGGTGTATCTCGGTGTCGAGAGAGAAGAAGAGAAAGTGCGGAAGTGAGAGATCCATCTTGTAAGTCAAGATGATTGACTAGTGTATATTCCTCAAATAGTAAAATCCTCTGCAACTCCGTGAACGTATGCAATTTACCGAACCATGTAAATCTGTGTGTTCCACTGTGTTACTATTTTCTGGTGTGAATTTTCTCATTATATTTTTCGCTTCATCGTCTATCGTTCTATTTTATTCTATATACCACAACATTTTTTACACTTTATTATCTTTTTCACCAACCAAATAGCTCAAATGCATATTTAATTGGGTTGACTTATGAGCTATCTTCTATAAACATCGCCAACAACACATAAAAAATAAAAAAACTCAAACAACACTTATCTTGTGTCAATGGCTATTAAAATATCTTTCAACACAACCAAAGTGGCTATTTCTTAAGATTCAACTTTAGTTACCATCACTATTCAATACAAAGTTTATTATTTCAATCAATTTTTTTCTCTGCCCATCACAAAAAATATTTATCTACGAAAGGTATTGTCTTAAAAATTATTTCAATATTTTTCATGGTGGGAATTTTTTTCTTACTTATTTTAAGATTCTAAGTATTTTAAGAAATTAATAATCTCACTTAATCCTAATATTTTGTTATTAATATGATAATAAATAAATTCATGAATCTTGCTAATACATCCTCTAAGAGGGTGTATAATCTCTTATATATCAAGATAACTATATCTCTTTTACATGTACCCATGAAAAAAATTAATAAACCTTATATTCTCACATTGATCTAATTTTAATGATGTTTTTCATAGTAATGGATGTGTACTCAAAGATAACTATAAATGAATATTGATATCACACCTACATTTCATTAAAAATATTTATCCATAAAATGACATTAATTGAAGTAATTAAGACTCGCACTATCAATATGATATTTAAGATTGTTTTTTGGCATTTCTTATGTTAAAGAATAAGTTATTATCAATTCAAACTTATTTATAAACAAGAAATAAAGTTTGATCTAAAAGGGAACATGCTCAATAACTAATGTATTCTATTTAACACATTCTCTTATAACTAAATACTTATTGTTGTTATGCTTACTTTGATTATCAATCTTGTTACTTTTAACCATAAAGACGTTTGCTTAATTACAGGGAGCACCGCTCAATGACACAATATATCCCCAATGACCTAAATATCACATCCACAAATCTAAGGCTGGGAATAAAACTCTTGAAACATACACCATACGTGATAACCTCAAAATAAGAAAAACTTAGCCTCCAAAATTGAAATGAAAGTTAAATTTTGTTGACCCTCATTTAAGACATAGCTTTGCTAACCAAATATATCAGCTTGGCAATAACATGCCACCTTTAGCACTTTAAAGACAACTCTTTATCTTCTTTGTCGCTCATTTTTTTGTGAGCTGAAGTCAATTAAAAATTGGTCACCCCCATTATATTATTGCAGAGGGTTGATGGAGTTCACATTAAATCTTGAGATAATGACTTTAATTTGAATATTTTGATCTGTTTGTTTGAAGCCTTTGGTGATTAATTTTAATTTAAGAATTTTTAGTTTGTTATTTTGAGAACTTAATTTGAAAATTGATTTACAAGGGTACTCCTCTGGTTGAGATTTTCAGTCAGCATGGTCATCATTAGGATTTGATTGCTTTATTTGAACCATGTCGAGAACTTATTTCTTTCTCGTAAAGAATCGATCATAGTATTGGCATATGATTTTACATGAATCTTGCCAATTATGTCTTGCTTACAAAGAATCGAGTACATATATATATCCCTCTGAATGAAATTTTTTATCAACTTGGCAATTATCATAAAATTTGAGCATTTGAAATATTTATATTTGAAATTTATCAATCCAATATCTTTAGAATTTAAGTCATCTCAACTGGAGGCCTAAGGGTCTGTTTGGGGCAGCTGCAGCTCATTGAATAATCTGCTGATAAGCTGAATAAAAATAATCTGAGAATAAGTTAGGTGCTGTAGCTATTACAAATTTTTATTTTTTTTGGAACAGCCATACCACTACCAAAAAGCTGCCACCGCACCTAGATAGGTGCGGTGTGAAAACGCAATTTTCAGCATTTTCAAAACGCATAAGCTACCAAAATACAGTTTACCCAAATAGGTCAGATTTGTTTTCAAAACGCCACCGCACCAAATAAGCTGCCCCAAACAGAAAAAGGTAAATAATTTGGTCATAAAAATTTTATTTACACAATATTATTAGTTTTAGAAATTGTTCCTGTACTTTTTATTACTGGGAACGGCTTGTACCGCATTTTAACTTATTCATTATAAGAAAATGACATTTTGAGCACAAATTACACTTATTTATTTTGTACTTATGTTAGTTAGATTCATTGGAATTGACAGCCTATTTATAGTTTTTTTTATTTTTTTTTAAATTATTTAATTAATCATTTAAAATAATGAATGATAAATTATAAAATATATGATTTGAATTCATAATAATCTTGATGATACAACTATCTTGTTTAAGCAATGAGCTATAAATTATTTCTTGTTTCGTTTAGGGTTTAGGGAATAATATTAAACGTCCGGACAACGATTGTGATCCACCCCCACTTTTTTATTGTAGTTGTTGTCCGAACACAGTTTGCATCCGAATTCCAAATATAATATTTCTCAAATCTAGATATATTTCTCATATGGGGCATTTAAATACATACCTCTTAATTTATGTGTATTTACCTACCTAACATCTTATTCATACCATCCATGTCTTTCCAATCAGATAAAAAAAAAATTATAAATTTCTTTAAAAATGAAATGCAATGTTTTTTATAAATATATGTAAATATTTTAATATTTATTATATATCAATAAAATATTTAAGATTACATTTAAATACTATTAATATTATTTTTTTTAAAATAAAATATATTTTTAATGTATATATTTTAATTTCGCTATAACAACAAAAAATTTGAATAACCATTAAAATTTAAATATTAAATATATAATTACATGAAAAATATGTGATATGTATGTAAATCCGGTTTCTATTTATGTGGTGTGTTGTTCACATGGGATTCTTTGCCCATGGCTTCTTGGATTGTTATCCCCAGTTTTGGATCTAGGTTTTCGCCCGCTTGCGGAAGATTCTTTGATTAGAACTCGTTGATTTGGTCTCCGTAATCTTCCATCCGAGTGCTATAAAGATGCTCTTTGTCTGCTTTTTTTTAGCTTCTTTTTTCTCACTCCAAGAAGCTGTTTAGTTGATTTTCAGGTGATGTGCTTGCGAATTTTGGAGACTCGGATTTTGTTCTCGTGAATGGAGATCATAGAAGGAGGACAAGAAGAGAAGAATGAATGAAAGGACAGGAAGCAGATTAAGTGATAAGAAATTGGAGTTGGATTTTAGTGATAGAGTGCTCATCTGCTCTTCTTGATGGTTTGCGAATCTAGAGGTTTTGCCTATTTTGGCTGCGGATTTTGGGGGTTTTGCCTCTGGCCTGGGAAACACCGACGTTTGTTGCTTTGACACTTTAAACCCTAAATTCCAATTCTCTGTCCTTGTGTGGGAGAAAAGAAATCGTTCCTTACATTTTCCTCTTTCCTGAGATTACTTAAAGCTTGTTAAAGCTTCAGGAATTTCAGTCTCTCATCTTACAATAGATAAGCTTCCTTAAATTTGATGTTCTTCTGATGATATGAGCGTAAGGAAGTTGTGAGGTGTTGAGGTCTCAGTATTTGAGAAGAGGTTTGCAAATTTCTTTCAAGATGAAGTATATGAAGCTTGGATCGAAGCCTGACGCCTTTCGGTCTGATGGGCACAATATCAGGTATGGAAGTTTGTTCTGCTTGTTGCTAAGGGCTTATTTAGGTGCTTGTTCATATAGAACATGCTTAGAAAATGGCGATGATATCATAACTTCTGATTCATTCTGAAGGCGTTAGTAAAATTTAAAACACATACTAATTGATAACTGAATCAAATAAAATGTCGGAATCTAGTATATTCTCCATTTTCTAATCATTTTTCTAACTTTTAGCAACCAAATAAGCGCTCAGGCTGTTTAGTTGTACGATTCTAGTGTTAATTATTGATTTCGTCTTTTGTTTATCAGTATATCTCATAAAATTTCGAGTTTTGTAAACGATTTATGGTTTGAGACTGTTCGATTCTAGTTATATTTCACTTAGTTAAAGTCTGTGATTTTCTTGGTTATCCATTTTCATCATAAACATGTCTTGGTCTCTTGATTAAGCTATTAAAGTTTTTTTTTTTTTAATTTAATTTTAAATGTATTTAGGATGAATAGTTCTTATTGGAGATCAGTCCCTCAACTCCTCTTTTTTTTATAGTAATTGTGAAACCTACTATAAACACTACTTCAAGGGATAGAGTCGGTTCCCGGGGGTGGAGAAATAGAGGGAGAGAAAGAAATAGAGGGTTGCCCCGTCCAGGGGCAAATAGGGTTGGTCCTCGGGCTCGACGGTCCCTTTTATTCCACACAAATGAGGTTGCAATGTGAGCGTGAAGGGGAGCAAGTTCCCTACATGAGAGGGGAAAGAGAGCCTAAAGAGACTCCTTTTACATCTAAGGGTCCTCTATTTATAGAAAAAGAGAGAGAGGAGAAATTTATATTACATTAGCCCTTGCCTTTTAGGAGAGTTGAGAGGTGTATTTTGGTCTTTCCCTTGCTTGAATCGATCCTCCTGGAGTTTCCCGGAGCTGGACTTGTCGGTGTCGAGTGGTTGGTCCAAGTGGTCGATCGTCTAGGGGTGGAGGTGCTTGACCCATGTTGGCTGGCCGAGTGAGGGTGGCTGGCTGGGTGGCCAACCTATGTTGACCGGCTGAGTGAGGGTGGCCGACCGTTAGGAGTTAGCCAACTCATGTGGGCCAGCCGAGTGAGGGTGGGTGGCCTGGTGGCCAGACCATGTTGGTCAGCCAGGTGAGGGTGGTTGGTCGGCAGGAGGTGGCCTACCTATGTTGGTCGGTTGGTTGGACCCGGTTGGCTCAACAGTTGCGTGTCTATTGGTTTGTATATGACGGTGGATCGTTATGCTTGGCGTGGCCTATTCTTAGGCCATACATTACCACCCCCCTCCCCCAACTTCTTAGAGGCAAAACTACGATAAAAATGAAAAACTCATTAGTGCCAAAGACATCCTTTTTTTAAGCTTCTTCTTGGACTTAAACTTGTAACAATACTTTTGCTAGCCTTTTAGTGAAATAAGTTTTTTTTTTATTTTTTTTTGGAGAAAAAATTATTAGTTGAGGTTTAGATCTTTGGAAAATATAATCAAGCTTGCTTTTTGAATTTTTTAGATAGAAATTCTCACAATTCGAACTCGCTCCTTATCCTCTCTCTTATCTTTGTCGATATATCGCCTCCGGTGGGCCTCATCTTACGCCAAGTCTTAGGCGGTTTTGTCGTTGCCTTCGTAGGGGAAAACTGCTGAGACTCATTAGTTGGGTGATTTACGCCGTACCACTTGTAGATATTGTCACTTAGGTGTAGAGAACCACCTCCATAGCTTCTTCCGACTTGAGCGTATGGAGTGGGTTTTTTGAGATTTCTTGAGGGGGAGAAGAAGCTTTGTTTGCTCATCCCGTAGGAGAGACTATCTTTGGAATGCTCATCTCGGAGGAGAGATTTGGAGAGTTATTTTTATTTTTCTTCTGGAATGCTCTCCTGGAGGAGAGGTTTAAAGATAATATTCATTTCACCATGGGAAAGAGATTTTCTGTTTTTCTTTTAGATGCTCTCCCGAAAAAATAAAGATGGAGAAAAGTTTTTTGCTTATGGAGAGAGATTATTATATTTTATTTCTTCCTCCCTTTTAATATTTTCGTTTTCTTCTTTAATGAAAAGCAAACAAGGTAAGACATTGTGCTTATCTTTCTCTTGTTCTACTGTACACGGTCTTCTAGTTTTTGGGGTATGAGAGTTGTTCTTTCCTCTTTTTACTTTTGTCCTTTTCTTTTTATCTTTTCCTCCTTTTCTATTTTCAACTCTTTATTTTATATCTTGTCGCTTCATGTCCCCGTTTTCTTCTTTTTGTTTCCATTTTCTTCTCTTCCTTTTGTTTCCATCTTCTTCTTCTCTTTTTTTTTGTTTTGATTTCTTATTTCTCTGTCTTGGCCCTTCTCCGACCCGGAAGACTTTTCTTCTTGTTGGCGACACGATCTATACACACTGCACCTTTTACGATATTGAATCCGAATCTGCCATTCGGATCGTGCCCAAGGGATAGAGCTCCAAATGATTCCAATCTTGATCCTGGTCCGACTGACCATGGTTAGCTTTGTCTATAATTGAGGCTCTAGAGTTGCGAAGGTAGAGAAGACTATTTGTTCTCGCAATGTGCCCAAATGGAACGCTTTAGGCTTTTAAAGTCTTTTAATTTTATTGTTAGCTTTTTGTTTAAACTGAGTGATCTTGTTTCATGCAGTATTTCCCAGAATATTTTCAAGAGAGGGTGATATCTATTTATTTTCTCTAAATATTAAATTTTGAAATGATTTAAAAGAATTTTTTTTGCAATTGACTGGTGACATACCCGTGGATTCAATGGAAACTCAATTTTGCTTCTTTATGACAAAGCTTTGAATGTAAGAATATGGTTTTTAATTGGCTATCTGACTTATGTGCGGAGTGTGATTTTTTTTTTTTTTTGGTCATTCATGAAGGCATTCATAGAAAAATTTTATTTCCAGGTTTGTAGCTACAGAATTGGCAACAGACATCATTGTTAATGTGAGCGGCGTGAAGTTTTATCTTCATAAGGTATCACTAATCTCGTTTTGAATCTTGATGCTTATGGTATTCATAGACAGTTATTACTTAATTGTATAATTTCTTTTTGACGTCACTGTTATTCGATTGCTATACCATTCTTCATGTACTCATTTCTCTCCACGGTATCGAATTTAGAGAAATTTACTCAGGCAGCACACAATTTTTATGTTTTTACATGTCTCACAACTATACTTTCATACTAACAAACATAGCACTTCAGTGCTTTGAACCTATGCATGAAAATATGCATTTCACTGTTAAAAAATGGTAATAGTGCAACCGTTGATGTGATATTAAAAATTTGAGTGCTATGTATATGTAAAGAGTAAAGTGCCAAAGTAGTCCTCCGACTATTTACTTTGGGTCATTCTAGTTGCAGAGCTTATAAAAATGTTAAATTAGTCCCCGTCTGTTTTAATATCAGTTTAAAAGAGTTTGGGGACTAAATTATGAACTCTGAGACTAAAGGGACCATTTTGACACTTTTTTCCATATGTAAATACATGAAGATTGTGTGCAATGTAAATTTTCCCTTGATTATAATGATACTTCTATTAAATATCCAGCATGAAATATTTTTCAATTGTCTTCTTCATTTTTTGTGGAATTGCCTCCAACTTTTATAATGATTACTTTTGTTGCCATGAAGAGGAGGATGATTTACATTGCCATTGGCTTTGTGTGCAGTTTCCCCTTTTGTCTAAGAGTCCCCGCCTCCACCGCTTGGTTGTCGCCACAAGTGAGGAAAGCAGCGATGAGATTGAAATTCCCGACATCCCCGGTGGCCCTGCTGCCTTTGAGATTTGTGCGAAATTTTGCTACGGCATGATTGTCACCCTCAACGCATATAATGTTGTTGCTGCTCGCTGCGCTGCAGAATATCTTGAAATGCACGAAACCGTCGAGAAAGGGAATCTCATCTATAAGATTGATGTGTTTCTCAACTCTAGCATACTTCGTAGCTGGAAAGACTCGATCATCATGCTCCAAACTTCAAAGTCCTTTCAACCTTGGTCGGAAGACCTCAAGGTAACCAGCCACTGCATAGACTCAATAGCTTCCAAGGCTTCTATTGATCCTTCAAACGTAGAGTGGTCATATACATATAATAGAAAGAAAATATTGCTGGAAAATGGTATAGATTCGCAATGGAATGGTGTAATGAAGCAACAATATGTGCCTAAAGACTGGTGGGTTGAGGATCTCTGTGAACTTCAAATGGACTGCTATAAGCAGGTTATAATGGCCATAAAATTCAAGGGGAGAGTATCTGCTGAAGTCATTGGGGAAGCTTTAAAAACTTATGCTTACAGAAGATTACCGGACTTCAGCAAAACAATTATATCAGATGGAGAAGATCTTGCAAAGTGCCGCACTTCACTGGAAACCATTCTGTGGTTACTTCCTACTAAGAGAGGTTCGGTATCGTGCAGTTTTTTACTAAAACTACTGAATGCAGCATGCTTTCTGGGTTGCAGTGAAAATTGTAAGAAAGAATTGATCAAGAGAACGGGACATCAGTTGGAGGATGCATCAGTAGTTGATTTATTGATTCCTGCTCCAGAAGGAGGAAGCACTTTATATGACATTGATCTGGTTCTTAATGTGGTGGAAGAGTTTGTAATGTATGAACATAGTTGTGTTCGAAGTAGCCTTCAGATGTCAGGAGATATTCAGGAAGATAGGAGTTCAGGTTCAGTTTCGGGCAACTCAATGTTGAGTGTTGCAAAATTGATTGATGGATACCTTGCTGAAGTTGCCAAAGATCCCAATCTTTTGTTTTCAAAGTTTGTCGAAATAGCTGGGAAGACTATGGATTTCTCGAGACCAGTTCATGATGGGCTTTATCGTGCTATTGATATGTTCCTAAAGGTAAACTTGCATCACGCTTTAATGATTGAATTTGGAATTTTACTCATTATATATATATATATATATATATATATAACGTTGATTAAACTTATTGAAGCTTTGGGTTGGTGGTTAGACCTATTAGCATCAGTTATCTCTGCATATCATCGAAATTCTCTCTAGACTCCTTGATTATTTGTTGGTGTATTTAATGTCCTCTAAGAAAACATGTGCAGTGCATGCACTACTCTGATTGCTTTTTTTTATCATCATTTATGTGAAAACAATATTTTTTTTTCCCATTTTTTGTTAGATCCTGTGTTGGTTCCAGAACAGTCTTTTTTTTTTTTAATCCGCTTCAGCCTCTTTTGACCGTTATGGCAACATTTGGGTTGATCTGACATACATTTAAGGTTCTGTCCCATTAGTTTTAAAGCCACAACACCATAGGACTGAGAAGCCCATCTCCTTGTCGGTAGCAATTTAGGGCATCCAATGTCAAGGCTAATGAGAATCGAGGCCTTGAATCCCACATCAAACTCATCTCCCACTAATTCCTTCATATCAATCCTAACCGGAAATGCTGGTGCCTTCTCCTTTCGCGAAAAGATATCTCAAAAGAAGGAGCTCCACACATAGAGCAAACAATGGTGGACGACGAGCTCATTGCCACCAGTGACAATGCATTCGCCGGAGAAGAAATCAAATTCAGGGATTTGGTGGAGAGAGAAGAGGTGGTCTGAGAGACGACAAAGGCTCTCTATGTAAGGCGCCGATGGGTCTACGGCATCTAGGCAGTGGTTGTTGCTGCCGTTTTTAGAATTGAAAAGGTGGGAAGCTGAGAGGTGGCGAACATTGGAAACGGCATATTGCAGGCTGGCGGAAGGCGTTCGGCTAGAGCAGGGAAGTTGGGTGGACGTGTTGTCTTCGTGTTCTCGAATTGAAAAATGAAAGAGCTGACGGGTCGCACGGTGGAAGGAGATGGAGTGTTGTACTTAATATTTTTTTGCTGGGGGTAATTGAGGGCTATGCCTAGTTTATTAACTTAATATGATTACAAATATGACATCAATAGAAAAGCTATTAAAGGAAAACACATATTTGATAAAGAAACAAAAACAAAAACTTTATTTCAGGAAGAATAACTGAATAACGCAACATGGATGTTGGTGTATACTAAAGCAGCCTTTTAAAGCAAAGCTTGAGGCAGCAAGCGGATGATATATTCCCTAAAATCTACTGAATCACTAAATATACTTGAAAGAAAACTTTAAAATCCCATTCTGAATCAAAACAGAACTGAAAATTTGAGTTAGAATATTCATTAGATGCCGGTAACTAGAAAAACTATAAGATAGAACACCGATTCAAATCAACCGTAGATCCCCTCATGCTCAAAATAGATCATTTATCTTCTATAACATCTATCTCCTATGTGGCTGCATCCAAGTAAACTGGTCCCAGATTAGGGAAGTTGAGGCCACTAAAGTTCCTAGGAAGCGTGGTGGTATTGCAAGCAATAGCATGTAATTTCTTTTCAGCTGAGTTATGATGTAAAAAGTTTTTACAGAAGTAGAGATCTTTCTTCTTAACCCTTTGGGAATATTGGTTGATCTATACCAATAGTATATATAGCTCCAAATGGTGGTTTTGACAAGCTGCAAGCTAGTAGTAGATGAAAGGAGTCTCTGTTCTAAGCTGAGAGATAAACGTCAAGCTTATCAATAATTTTATGACAATCCATAGCATTCAACTTACTACCTTTAATGGCAACTTTCAAGCAATCCCAGGGATGTGTTTTATGTTGACCACCACTAACAATACATATTTGCTATTGAAGAATGCAACTGACTGACTTTAAGAAGATAGCAGATTTGGAGGCATTGAGACAGTTTTGTGGCCCAATTAAAGGTGTTAATCATAGAATTGAGAGAAGTAATGGACTGCAAAACAGTTTTTCCAAAAATCAATAAATTGTCAGAATAAATAAGTTGGGGGAAAGCTTGATGCCCCGAGGCATCTCTAATACATTAAAGAATTCCATCAAAGATGAGAAAGCATTCATCACTAATACAAATAAATAGGGTGACAAAGGGTAGCTATGCCTTATTCCAGAAGTGGAGAAAAAATAGGATTTGTTCTCTTTATTCAGAATAATTGAGAATTGAACATCCTTTGTATAAGCTTGAACCCACTTAATGAAAATACTAGGAAAGCCCAAACTTTCCATCCGACTATAAAGAACACATCTATTGACATGGCCAAAAGTTTTTCTTAAATTGATTAATTGGATGCTTTGAAACCATAGAGAAATTCATTAATTCGGATAATGTTATTTGTTATCTCTAGCAACAACAAATGCTGCTTAGAATTCATGAATGATGCTATGGAGAGTTAATGTAAGCCTATCATCCAATAACTTTATAATGACTTTGTAAATGGAAATACAAAAAGAGATTGACTAAATTATTAAAAGTTTGAGCATGCATTTTTTTTTGGGAAAAGGACAACGAAATAATGTTGGAAGTTTAGCGCCAACAACAACAACAATAACAAGCCTTTATCCCACGTGGGGTTGGCTACATAAATCCTTTTTCTTCATTGCTTCCTATTGAGTGTCATATTTTTATTTAATTCTAATAAATTAAGATCATTTTTTATACAATATTCCCAAGCCTTTCTGGGTCTACCTCTGCTTTTCTTAACATAAGTCGAATCTAAAATATCTACTCTCCTAACTGGATCATCAAATAGTTGACATTTAATGTAACCAAACAATCTAAGTCGGCTCTCTCTAATCTTGTCCGCCATTGGAGCTACACCAACCCTATAAAGGATATAATCATTTCACATTTTGTCTCTAAGTGTAAAGCCACTCACCCACTTAAGCATTCTCATCTCGGCAACACTTAACTTAGTTTTATTCTTTTGCAGGTCTCACTATCATCTTATAAAATTTTCCTTTCAGTCTAAGCAGTAATTTTCTATCACACAATAGACCTGAAGCATTCCTCCACTTCAACCAACCAATTTGAATTTTACTAATAACATTCCCATCTATATCACCATCACTTTGAACAATAAAGCCAAGATATTTAAGCATTCACACATTTTAATTATTTGATCACCCATAGTTACAACTTCGTCACTGGAGCCACTACTACTACTAAAATTACATTCCATGTATTTAGTTTTAGATTTACTCAAACGAAGGTCTTTAGACTCTAATTTAGACCTCCATAATTCACATTTATGAGATCTTTCTCAAGTCTTATCCACAAGAAGGATATCAAAAACGAAAAACATACACCAAATTGCATTCTCTTGTAAGTGTCCAATAAGAGCATCCATAACTAAAGCAAAAAGATATGGGCTTAAAGTCGATCCCTGATGTAATCCAACTTAAATAGGAAAATATTTGGTCAATCCTCCTTTTGTTCAAACACAAGTGACAACTCTAATATATATATATATCTTGAATGACTTAAATTTAAGTCATATCAACACCTTTCTTCTCTAGAACTCTCCAAAAATATCTCTTGGAACCTTATCGTAAGTTTTTTCTTAATCAATAAAAATCATATGTAGAACCTTCTTATTATATCTATACTTCTCCATCAAACCTCTCAATAAATATATAGCTTCCATTGCTAACTTGTCCATCATAAATCCAAACTGATTATGAGAAATCTTTGTAATATGTCTTTAGCCTATGTTCAATTGCCCTCACTCATAATTTTAAAGTGTGATACATCAACATAATTCTTGCAAAAAAAAAATCCCAATTCTCCTAAATATTTATGTACTTCAATTGAGATATCATTAGATCCTACAACCTTTCCACTCTTGATTTTCTTTAAAGCCTCCCAACTTCATTTTTACTAATGTGACAATAAATATGAAACATATTATTATTATTATTGACGATATTAAGATCATTAAGGTCGACATTTTTTCAGAAACTTCATTGGAAATTTTATCAAAATAACTTACCCAACTATGTTGAATATCTGTTTCTAAAAAAAGAACTTTTGATTTTCATCATTGATATATTTTACTTGAGTTAAATCTTTACTTTTTTTTTTCTCTTTGTTTAGCTAGTTTATACATATATTTTTCATTTTTTTAGTATCTAATATATTATAAATATTATTAAAACAGAATTTTCAAGATCACAGATTGTTCTCTTAAACTCCTTACGGGTCATTTTATATTTTTCTTAACTCTCTAAGATTTTACATTTAAACCAATTTTTATAACATGATTTTTTATATTTTATCTTTTTTTACTTATTATTATTCCACCATCTTATAAAAACTTTTCTTTTTGATTCTCCAAGTACATCTTTTGTCACTTGTTTAATTGTGTTTGTTATTTATTCCACATAAAATTTATTTTTTATGACATCCCAAATCTTGAAATCTTGAAGTTTACTCATAAAAAAAATTTTATTTGTCTTTAGGTGCCCCCATCTAATTCTATGACAATGATTAGTATTCATTAGTTTACAACTCTTCATCTTAAATTTTAGAACTAATAATCGATGTTAAGTAATTAAATTCTCACTTGGAATGATCTTACAATTTTTACATTCTCGACGATCCCTTCTTCTCATAAGAAAATAATTAACGTGTTTTATTAGATATATTATTATAAGTAATAATATGCTCATCCTTTTTCTTGAATAGAGTAGTAGCAATAACAAAATCATATCCCAAAGCAAAATTTAATATAACTTTATCTTTTTCATTAATCACTCCAAAATCATAGCCACCATGAATATTTCCAAAATGTTCAACCACTCTATCGACAGGTCCATTTAAATATCATCCAAAGAAAATTTTTGTTTCAAGAGGTATCATTTGTATTAATTCTTCTTAGGTCATTCCAGAATTTTTCCTTAGAACCTATGTTTAAGCCTACTTGAGGAGCATAAGCACTTATGATAATAAAAAATTTAGTATCAACAACAATCTTAAAGGCTATAATTCTTTCTATAATTCTATTAATATTTACAATATTATACTTCAAATTCTTATCTATAATTACACCACCATTTTTAGTGTGATTAATACCTGATTACTAAAGTTTAAAACCTAAGCTATCAATCTCCTTAGCATTTTCTCCAACCCATTTAGTTCAACCCATTTAGTTTTTTGAATGCATAAGATATTTATCTTTCTATGAATCATAATATCAACTAATTCCATTAATTTATTTGTGAGAGTACCTATATTCAAATATCCTATTTTAATATTAGTTGCATAGACCAATTTTTTTACTTGCATCCGTCTGTAATGTGTGAACGCTTGTTTAGTTGACACTAAACTTGAACATCGATGTAGCGGCCCTTACAAACTTTTCACTATATTCAGGTCATACAACGCGTTGCTTTCAGGGGATGTTCTAGCATTTACACAATGATCAAAAGAATTCACACTTTTCAGTGTATTTTTTGCTAGGAAGTTCAGCATGGTTAAAAAAATGCTTAATAGTCTCAATGCAATCCGTACAAATAATATCCCAAGCTTTTTTTAGAATTTAGAAGAGAAATCATCCAACTTAGGAGTTTTATTAGAACCAATCTAGAATAAATACATTTTTAGCCTCCGAATTAGAAAAAAAACAACATAGTTCATTAGCATCATAAAAATTAATATGATGTAAAACAAAAAAGGCATCAAAGTCATAAAGCCCACAAGAGGAGCTATTAAGTAAATAAAAAAAAGTAAGAAATATCATGTTTAGCAATGCCATCCAGAGCAGTCAGAAAAAGATTATCAACCAGTTGTTATTTGATAGTGCAGGAGTTATTCCTTATTTTAATTCTTTGATGAAAGAATTTAATGTCATCTTCTCTTTTAGATAACAACATGCATTTGGCTTTTGTTGATTCCAATTTTATTCACAAGCTAAACAAGTAGTCAAATCTTGTTAAATGGAGATGGCTTGTACATGAAGATCGTTATTAATAGGGTCATTCTCCAAATGAGCACAAATATCAGTTTGTTTCAGCTCGAGATACCTGATTGTGTGAGAGATAGAGTATTTAAAGAATTTCATTTCCACTTTTGTAAAGCAAAGCTAACATTTTTTAGCAAATTACACAAATCGAACATTGATCACCATTCACCGTGTTATTCTGCTTAGAAGAAATAAAAACGATGAAAATTCAATCAATGACTTAAGGGACGATTTGGGATCACGTTTTATCTTTTGTTTTTTGTTTTTATTTTCAAAATTAGAATATAAAACAAAAAATATATTTGCTTATTATTTTTTTTTTATTTTGTTTTTAAATAAAAATGTTTTTATTTTTAAAAAATAAAAAATAAGGAATTTTTTTTTTGTGTGTTTTTAAAATAGCTCCCACCGTCCCAACTCCAGTGCCTTCTTTAACACTGATGCAAAACTCGACACCAATGCTTTCAATGACATCTCTTGATCTGCTTTAAGATATGTGCAACGGTCAATTCATAGTTATTAGATAATGATTTAAATGATGCACGTGAATCTAATAGCTGATGTAGAATTTGAGTTGTTATATTATAATCTTATTCTCTGAATAAATTTTAATAATATGCTCTTATTATTTGTTAAATAAGTTATGATAAATATGTGGATACTTTTCACCCACATATTATTACAAAAAGCCCCATCTAGATGGCAACATATAGGGTTATGAGTTTGTTGTTTGAACCAATTAAAGGAATGACCAACATTTTGTAGTTTAAAAAGACCAGGATTGAAAATTCAGTCATGAAAACTATTAAGTTTACTTGGAAGCTGAGGATACTCGCCAATTTTCTTATTAAGTCTTCTAATGCCATTGAAATCTGCCTAGTTGATCCAAGGCCTATTAACAGAATTAGCCAAAGATTAGATAACATTCCAAAAATCTTTATATTTCATAGCACAATTATCAGCATAGATAAAAATAATATAGAAAGTGATATTTTAGCTGAGTAGCTAATGATGCCATGTATGTACTGAGCATGAGTACACAAAACATTAAAAGAAATTACAGACGAATTCCATTTAATTCAAATTTGCCCTTTATCTGCCATATTAAAATTATTCACAATGTTTTCATTAGAAAAAAACTTGTGAGAAATGGCGAGGGGATTAGAGAGCGAGGAGCAAAGCTTTATTTTAAGCTAACAAATCATATCAATGTGATTCTTTTTAAGAAGATCTCTGCAACCGGTGATATGAATATCATTATAGAACTCGCACACATTAGTAATAATATTTGGAAAAAACATAATGAAATTAAGATGAGAAGAACCCCATTTGCATCTTCCTTTTTGGCCTTTAGAAGAGGGGAATGGATAGAGGATGAAAGAGCAGCAGAAACAAACAAGCATAAAGTTGTGGCATTAAGTAGTGAATTTAGTGGAGGCAGAGAAGTGGAAGTATGACATCAGGAGGATTGAGAGAGGCGTTACTGACACGTAAAGGGGGTTCTTATGAGCATCAATGGGTGCTTCAGCAGAAGATTCCACCCTATCAGCTCAGGTGGAAGGTGGGTTATATTTGGAAATATTTAAATTGTGGAAATTCATTCGAGAGATTCGGAGTAAAATTTTGAACATAACAAGATAAAAAAAATCACAGAAAACACAAACTTTTAATGTGAAAAAACTCAAGAGCGGGAGAAAACACGGGCTTACACCAAACCAAGAAATTCACTAAGAAGAAAAATAAGGAGAATCAGACAAAGTATTACTACACTCGAGCCTCTTTAAACTTTGGAAAACTTCAGGACACTCTTCTTCTCTCTTTTGCATATGGGAATTCAAAATCTAACACCTTATTAGCAAAACCAAAACTTTAAGAAAAAAACTGCCCAAAATTGGTCACTGGCGTCAGGGCTTTTACGCATTGTGCTCTCGTAACCTTAACTAGAATTGGGCGTGATGACACTGTTTTCCAGGCTGTGGGCATTGCTAGCTTGACATTGGAGTGTTGCAGGTACAACGCCGATGTGTTATGTATGAGGAAAATAAAAGCATTCTGGGATAGCGCCCTCGAACCTAATACAAGGGAGCAAGATTCCCTCATTCCTCCTTACAAACTGTCAAACTCAATCGGCAAAATCGAGGGCTTTGAGTGAACAATTGATTAACACAATCAAGCTCCATAGAGACAAGGGAAACAAAGGGTTTGTGATATGGGGACTTCCAACAAAAAGTGAGATCATGATCAAAAGTGGCACAAAACTTGCAAGGATTAAGCTTCCACTAGTAAAAGATGGGGATCATAATAGCTTGATCTTTAACAGATATATTAATGAAATTTAGAATAGCAAGGTCCACATTAATTTGAGTATTAACCCTAGCATACGTTAAACTGGTTCCTTTGGCCGGGAGAAGATTAACAGCCAGAGGAACACTGGTTTTGCTAGCGATTCTTGAAATATATTTTCTTGACCAACAACATAAAGGTAAATTAAGAAATTTAATCCATACATGCACCTCACGAAAGCCCCATTCACCTACTTAAAATCTAAAGTCAATTTTTTAAAAATAAAGGGCCCCCTATTAATGTACCATGACCCCTCATCAAAATCATCTCATAGTCTTCAACACAACTCAACTTGAAAATAAAAATTCCCTTAGAAAAAAAAAAAGTTCAACAATACCCCATAGGTTCCAGGTGCTGTAAATAGCTTGCAAAATACTACCATAGAAAGGCCTTTTTTCCAACTTGTAACCGACCAAAATGAGGTTCCATTGCCTCGAACTTTCTTCACTTTTCTCCATCTGAGAAGATCTTCTCACAGTAGGAGGAATATAAGAATTGAAAAAAATAGTAGGATTAGGGATATCAGCAGAGACTATATTTTTCCAGTTTACCGTCATCCCGGACCGAGAATAGAGGTATTAGAAGAGGAAAGAGGGAAAAGATGAGGGATTCATGCAAAGACGAAGGGGTAGAACCCCTGGCCCACACGACCAGAAGAAGAGAGATTAGGAGCCGCATCCTTCAAAGAATGATATAGAGTTAATGAGCCAACAAATTCTCAACAATGGAAAAATTGGCTTTTGGGTATCTATTATCTGTATTGTTTTTTAAAATGTTGAAATGCTTATTTAAGTTATTTAAGAGTATCTCTTGCATTAAGTTTTTTTTTAATGAACACTTGGGTTTCTAATCGAAGCTACTCACAAAACTAAAATATGAACTGCTTAAACTCATTAGAGTGAAATTTATTAATATTTTAAAGAAATGTTATAGCAGGGTAACTCTTGCTCCCTAAGTTATGATTTACCCTGATTTTCTATCACCAGTGTGTGCAAATTAATTTGAAGTGATAAGAGGCAACTGCTATTACCATTTTACATCAGCCACACCTTTAATTTTGCAAAAAATTGCCTTCTTTTTGCATGTGCAGGAGCACCCCGACCTCACAAAGATTGAAAAGAAGAAAATATGCAATCTCATGGATTGCAGGAAACTATCACCAGAAGCATGCATGCACGCCGTGCAGAACGACCGGCTTCCCCTTCGAGTAGTCGTACAGGTTCTATTTTTCGAGCAAGTGAGACATTCCACTTTAGCTAGTGGCATCCAGCCACTTGTACCTCAAGCAATAGAATTTCGAGAAAACGGTGCTGCTTCCAACGGCACCTCCAGATCTGCTGCAACAATGGCAAACACCGGGGATGAATGGGATGGAGTCCCCACTGCCGGTGACATCAACTCTCTTAATGCCATGAAGCTGGTTGGTCGACGAGCTACAGGAAGCGAAAAGAGCAGCAGCAGTGGAGATGCAAGCAAGAATTGCGACGATAAAGTTGATAAAGCTGCCGGAAAAGTGAAGTCTGTTCTCATGCCTAACAGAATGCTGAGCAAGTTGTGGTCCGGGAAGGTGCACGGCGGCGAGAACAGCAGCTCCGACACATCCGACGGCCATGGGTCAATTAACCCTGAAGAAGTCAAGTCCACCGCATCAAGGAACATCAGATATTCAGTTACTTAAAAGCTGGAGTAGGTTTTGTTACAGAGATTCATGAATTATAAGTAGTTTTGGCAGAATCGGCTGAACTGATGAAATCTATCAGATCGCTGCTGTGTATTGTTGTGTATTGCGGTTCGTTACTGTGTACAGAATCTGTAATGTAATATTTTGTTCATTGTAATACACAACAATACATAGAAATGTTCGGGGGCAAAAGGCAAAAATAGCTCTGTTGTGTTTTGGGCGCTGGCGGCAATGTTTCTCATGCAAGACCAGCTCTGAGATTGTTGGGGACCTGTAGATATTTTATGGGTTTACAGTTCACAATGGGAGAAAATTTTTGCTGTAACATGGATTTGATGAAGAAAAATGCGTTTGGATTCAAATTTTTCAGCAAGCCTCTGAAGCATTAGAATTTTTTGTTTTGTTTCCAACTGGCCTTGCAGAACCATTGTCAGTATTATTTTAATTCCACCTAAAATGCGTTGCGAGAACAAGAAATATAATAATGACAACTGTGACATGTCAGGAGTTCTAATTAACCCCACTAATTTAAAATGAAATCATTAGGAGATAACTTTCCTCTCAAGCCAATCTCTTTTATTTTCGTTCTCTCAAGAATTCACACTCAAGCAAAGAGCCTTGCTACTTTTATTAGATCAGTTATCAGCTGGATATACCGACAATGTGGAGGCGGCTTCAAAGCTAGAATTTTCAACTGCTTTTCTTAGTTCCCTTTGTAAAATGCGAGGAAGATTAGCATATATAACCACTCAATTCCTATATATTTCAATTTTTACATAAACCACCTTATTTATGCATGAAAATGTGCATTTCACTTTTTAAAACTTAAATTGGTAGTTTTTTTTAATGTGATATGAAAGATTTCGGAGGTTTAAATATAAAAAGGCAATAATGTTTAGGTGTTAGATGGATGTGTAAATAAATTGGAGAATTAGCTGGTTTGTATGTAAATGACCCAAAATAGAATCATGCGATACATATTTTATTATAATGGGTTCGAAAATATTGAATTTGTTTAGAGAATAGTGTAATACGAACTTTTTATAAGCAACTTTAGCATCATAAAATTTAGGCCAGGATATCCTAATGTCTATATTTATTAATTAGAATAAAGCTAACAATAATGATTTATTATCTTGTATTTATTTGATTATAAAAATAATATGCTAAGACACACACACACACACACACACACACATTAAGTCACTATTTGATCAATCAGTATTGATCATTAGGGCCCTTGGCAAAACAATGGAACATGTTGAATCTTGTTTTTTTCAATGTCAGAGAAAAAGAAAGGAAATGACACAGAGAGAGATGGAGAGCCGAAGAGAAGGAAGCGCGTAGCTTAGATAAAAGGAAGAGATTGAAATCTTGTTTTTCATTAAATGCTCCATATATATAGTGGTTAATTTCTAAATAAAGAAATAGATAAGTCGTGATAGTGCCCGGGCCTTTTAGGGACATTTAGTTGTCTCCTTGGTCAAATCTTTTTGCAGATTTTCTCTCCAAAGTTAACTAGTGGTTGGCGAATAATTAGTAATCTCTGTTCTCGTATTCTCTTCTATCACAGTTGTATTCAACCCTTCCATGCTCAGCCATCTGTATTCAGTCATTTGCATTCGACTGATGTAATTCGGTTGTTTGCATTCAGGTGGTGTTTCACCATTCTTATCACTCTCACTTGGGTTTGTTTCTTTAACAGGCTTGGGCTAGGAGAAAGACCTACTTATATATTTTGAGTCTGTACTCATCTTGATTTGGCTTAATTACTTTTACTATACAATAGAATATATTTTGCAGGATATTATTATGAAGTTTGAGGAAAATGCCGGTCTACTTTGAGAGTTTATTTGCATGGTATGCAACATGGTTGATATTCCAATTAATGCCTCGTATAATTCAACATTCCCATTTGTAGGTGCTACGTTTTACTACAGTTATAAGAGCAAGGAAAACTTTAGCAAATGTTATGATTAAACAAAGTCAGAATAATTTTTTTTTAACAAAAACAAACTCATAACAGGTAGAAAAATGAAAATACTTTAATACATCATGAACTTAAACCAAATTTTCCTTTAAGTATGTTTTAATTGATGTTTAAAGTTTGATGAGTAAAACATTGATCTATAAGTCATCCTGTATAATTTTCTCCTCGTAGGGGTAGAGTAATTATTTTTCTCCTTTTTTGGGCCTTTAGTGTTTAAGATAATTGTGAACTTCAATATCGATCAAATCATTAATTCTAATCTATAGTAAGGAATTGCATGTGAATTGAGTTCACTCAAATTTTTTTAATAATTTAACTGTTTATAAAGCATGTCAAAAAGATAAGGGTTAGCAAACATTTGCATTATTTTGTAAGGCGGTTGTAAGTGCAAATAAATTAATATTAGACGAGTAAAATATTATCCCATAAAGAATAGAGAATTTTCTTTAAAAATAACTATTGATTTATCTTATTATAAATTTTAATTCAGGCATTAATGATTATCATTAATTTCTATACATTAATTTTAACTTAATTTTATGAGAGAAATACTTAGGTTTATAATTTTCTTGAAACATTCTTCTTCAACCTCATAATATGAAATAATAATATTTTTAAACATTATGGATTGTAAAAAAAATTGAACAATTTTCTAATTTCATCAATTATTCAACCATATTGCATCCTAACTCTCAAGGATTACATTAATATTCTCTTCTATTAAGATTATAAGTTCCATTTAACTATAATCATATCTCAAATAATTTTATTGATTGCTTTTTTACAAAGCATAAGATAAACCTTATAAAATCATCAAAGATGAGGTAATGGTCATTTAAATAACTAAACAAGATACTAGATAAATAACATAATCCAAATAATAAACCACAAAAAAGCAGACTAACTAATTAAGACATTTGTTGGATTATACTAATAAAATACAAACAAAATTAGTTCATAATAATTTGAGAGATACATTCCTTGGAATCATGAAATTCACTATATCGAATGAGGATGACTAATTGAATTGAAAACAATATAATTGTTTGCAATTTTATGCTTACAATCATCTTGTAAGTCTTCTCCCTTTTACCTTTTTTATCTCTTAGATGTCTCTTCTTTCCATGTCTCTTATTTTCCTTGCAAAATTCTCTTTTTAACTCCTAACAAGAGCCATTATAGTTGCATTGTAACTACTCTTGGTTCTATAGTTACTTCTAAAAAATAAAACTTTGAAGTTTGAATAATAATGCTAAGGTGCCACTTTCTTGTCTTATAATAGCTTTTCTTCAAGATAAAGCTTATAGTGTCTAAGCATTAACATACTCTATCATTCATTCTACATATGGGCACTTAGACAGTTAAAGGTTGTACAGTTAAAGGTTGTATATTGATTATAGGATCTAATATCTTAGTTTTGAGGACCTCTTCTTTTGTATAAGTCTATCTTCACATAAGGCTCGTATCTTCATTATTATATCATTAATTATACTTCAACATATTATGTTTCATAAATATTCACTATATATCTAATCTATTGATCAATTTTAATAAAATCAATCCTAATTTTATCATATTGTTTGAAAATATGTTTCACTAGTAATACTTTTTAGTGAAAACAAACTTACTTATCATGAAAAACATATTAAAACCTTTTTAAGAGTGTATGTTTATACATGTATTTCATAAATAAAAATTTTCTTAAATATATAATATAGTTTCAATGATCTATCCGTCTGATTCCAACGAAGGTATAAGTAACCATTACAATTTAGAATTAATCATATTCAATTAAACTCATTTAGTATTTTATTTTTTTTTCATTTTATAATTAGTTTCTTTAGCAAATATCCTATAATTGTCTTAGCTTAGTATTTGAATGCACTTGAACTGTTTTTTTTTTTTTTTTTTTTTTTTTTTTTTTTTTTTTTTTTTTTTTTTTTTTTTTTTTTTTTTTTTTTTTTTGAGTAGCTTAAGTTGATTCTAATTGAAGTTTTTGAAGCATTTATATCATCGTAAATGTCACATATACCAATCTTACATGCAACATGAGTTTAGCTTCCTTTTTCTTATTTAGATACTCTAACAGGTTTAATTCATCCCTATAACTATTTCACCACATTATTACAATATACACTTTATATCAAATCTCATTGAGGAATTTTATTCTCATTATACGAAATATGGACATATGAGAATTAGAAGTCCATGAATTTCAAAGCTAACATAATGGAGGGTCTCACTCTACTTTCATCATAGATGAACATGATGATCACTGTCTTAGCATTTGGCATTATAGACTTCATATTCTTTAAGGATTGCCTTGGATTTATGATTCAATTTCACTTAGTAATTAAAGAATGTGTATATACTTTATCATTTGACTTCAAATATCAGATTGATTTTATAATGTTATTTTATTTAGTTTTGAGAGCCAATATAATTATTGAATTATTTTCTTCATTTTATCTAAGAAATAGAAGCCACTCTCCTACTATAATGATTCATATATTTTTTCCTTAACTATCAAACGATTAGTGCATTCACGACAATGTTAAAGGTCCTCTTTTTTAATTGAATCATAAACTTTTTTGTGGTATGAATTTCTCCAATTCAATATTTTATTTGCTTAACCTAATTTATTAAGACATAGGAATCTTCAAATGGATGGTACATTTATATAACATGCGGAATAATATGGATCTTTCATATTTTTATCAACTTTTAATTTTTTTTTTCTTTTGGAGAACATTAATTATTGAGCTGGCCCTTTACAAATGACCTTTTGTATTTCTACATTTCATGTGAGCTTTGTTACCACCGATGTATATATAGTTAGCTTCTTACTTTTATTATTAAATGATAGCTAATGAACTTTATATTTTTTGATATTATCTAACACTCTGAAAAAAATAATTTTATTATACATCTTAGTTTGTGAAGTATTGAGTTATTAAATTTAATCCTATATTATAAATGTTTGATTCTTTTGTTTTAATTAACCATCAAAGTGGGGTGTGAGCTATGAATAAAACTATTGTGGGGGGTGAGGCTATTGCTTAATACTAATATGCTCAAAATAGCATGCTAATAATGAGATTAATTGTTACGGGAGTTTGATATGCTTGAATGATATATTTGGAGCCTATTATTTAATAATACTCGATGATAATTCACTTAAATTGTAAGCTTAATAATATGGCACTTGCATTAAAGTTGTTTTTTTTTTGTGTGAGAATTATATCTTGGACTTGGAACTAATAGGCCACACATTTCTCAGCTTATAAAGATTTAGATCAAATATAAGGTCTTTTTAAATATTAAAAAAATTTCAATCCACTAAAAATTCCATAAAAAGTTGTAGGT